CTTCCTTGTAACTTTTTTGGCGTTTGCACCACCTCTGACATAATGGTGTCAATCTGTCGGCCCTTCAGGCCGTCTCTGTCAGGGACAGATGAATGGAAACTCAGAACTTTTCAAAAAATAAAGGTATTTGTTACATTTAGCTTCTCTCTACCACACATATTCTAGACAGACTTTGGCTAAGTTTCTAATTGTTTGCCTTTCGCAGGTACGGACAATAGCTGCCATGGCCAATCCAGAGAGCACATGCACATTTATACACAGCTGTTAGCTCTGTTGAATGGACCACTGTACCCGGTAGAAGGTGTGAGAGTATCTACCTGCATCTTCATCTAGTTGTTGGACAGTCAGCGAAGCTTTATTCCACTTAGCAGAAGTGGCATAACTCTCCCATCAGAGAAGGAGGTAGACTAGACCAGGGCTGGGGCTACAGGCAATTAACACCTCTGAAAAAAATCATCCCCAAGGCATCTCAGCATGGGTGTCCAGAGGTAGGAGTTTTACCATGTTTAATTCTCTCTCCACTAGATCTTATTTTACTTTAAAACTCAAGATAAGACCTACTTTAACTCATTCTTAAAAATGGCTGTAGACTGTGGAGCATAGAATGGGTCCTCTTCACATTCACTCAAGTTATAAATCTTGATTTTTATCCTAAGCTGATGCTAATAATAGAAAAAAGCCCAGTGAGACCAGAACTTGGTGGCTGACTCTCCAAATATAATATGGAAAGAATAAAGTTTACTTTACATCAGTGTGCTGAGGACTCTTTATACAATCCTTTCTAAATATAAGGTGTTCTATAAGCCTTACTATTTTATTCGCTAGTTCAAGTCCGTCTGAAAATACAGGCGTCATCATGACAACATGATCATAAATTCGGTATAAGGCCAGGCAGAAGGTCAGGAGAAAGTTCTTTTGAATAACATAGGTTAAAAATTCCAACTCCTAATAGCTTAATAAACGTAACGGAGAAGTTCACTTCTGCATTTCACATGTTTTCCATCCCAAATTTATATACAGAATTATTCAAGGAAATCTGCATTTGGATTACTGTCTTAACATTTTTCTCCTTTTTTGTCCCCACTTTTAACCAGGATTGGCCAATTAACTAAAAATACCGCATTTATATATAGTATCTCTCAATAGACAGTCAGACAGATATAGTACCTAGATTTTTACATACTAGAAATAGATGAAAAAACAAAGGATTTTCCTGACCGACTGATGGAGCTATAGTATATGACATTTTACCACGAGAGGGCAGCAAAGCACTGTGTTACACTTCAGGAAACCTCCTACATTTAGAACGGACTTTTTTTTTTTTTTTTGCACATCAGTTGAAGTGCATGTTACTTAATTTGTTTCCTAAGAGTCAAGATGGTAAAAAATCTGCCCTTTCACATGCAATTAGAGGTATGCATGACTTAGATTATGCAACAAGTTAAAAAAAATGAAATAAAAGTTTCCCTTTAGGCTTAGGGAAAAAAAAATCATAAAACTGGCTAGGCAAGAAAATGCAGAAACTATCTATTAGACTCCTTGGCCACATCCAGATGTGCAAGCACGTGCCATTTGTGGCAACACAAGCCTCTTTGTGGCACCGCAAAACACACATAGCAAATGTTAAACGTTCCCCATGCTGCAAAAATGCAGCGCAGAGCCAAAGTTTGCTACTGGGATTTTTTGGTAGCCAAAAAAAAAAACCCCCAGAAGAAAAAGTGGCGCGGCACATGCCCAACAAACATGCACTGGGCACACATGGAGGCCTGGCCGTCCAGCCAGGCCTCCGTGCTGCTGGATCCGTGTTCCTGCTGCTCCATGCCACTAGATAAGACTGCTCTCCCTAACTAAAGAGGTGGGAGGAGCTGGGCAGGGGTAATTTACCCATTGTGGGACAATCTGTCCCGCAACAAAGGGGATGTGCAGGGTCATGTGCTGTGGTAATTTGCACTGGTGCAAGCATGTGCCCCTGCATGTCTTGATGTGGTCCTTAAGTTTTAGGAGTATGCCATCTCAAAAAGCTGCTCACTGTAACGCATGTAATTAGAGTCCATGCTTTAGTCACAAAAACCCTTTGGAACCTGGCCGTCTTATTATTTGGCACTATGACAGTGTCTAGAGACTGGGGCCTTGTGCTGCTTTGTGATACCAGCCTCTGGCAAAAGACACATCATCCCTGAAAAAAAATGTACAGGCAAAAGAAACAAAACAAATGAAGGAGAATTATACCTATTTCTATACAGGAAGGCAGCACGTCAGAGCTGAAGGTTTAATTTAGCTGTTTAATCTTATCCTCAGTCCTGTACTGCAAATGTAAGATCAACCTTCCCCTCCCCTGGTTCAGTCTCTCCCATGTTTGATACCTGTGAGGTAGCACATTTCCTCAGGATCTCTTTAGTTGCTCCCAGAGGTGGTACAATCTGATTGAACAGCCCTGTCCTCAGACGTGGTGTTGGCACCAACAAAGTTTTCCTTGCCTGTGAAAATAAAAAACATTAGTTGAATTACAAGTCAGCTGAAGGGTTTTTTCTCTTTAAACATGCTAGAAAGTTGTCTTTACTTTCATGTGTTTGAGCACACAAAGACTGAACCTTCTCTAGGTAAAAGACAGAAACATTTATTCTTGTGTGTACAAGGCTTGAAAACAAATTCTTTCCAGTAAGTATTAATATCTGGGAAGTTTGTCTCATTGTCTTTTACTTAAATGTAGCAGCTTAACAACTTAAATGTAAAAATCTTCCTCTATAGTGAAACAGGGTGGGAGGGGAGTGGTTGGAAACAAGGGCTATGCTACCTTGGGTCACTGAGAGCCAATGGGCAGGGCTCTATTGTGCTTGGGCACAATAGATGAGCTCTGGCCTAGACTAGACTGCCGCCCCATGACAGGGGTGGTGAACAGGGTGCTGCAATGCTCAATGGACCATGGGATATCAACAGAACGTGACCTACTGTGGGTTGCGATAGGATCTGATACAGATGATCGTTACGAAGCGCTAACCTACAGTGCTGGATTCTGATACCACATCCATCCAGAGTTATCTTAGAGCAGAATACGCCCTTTTTACAGCAGTCTCTGTGCCCTGGCTGCCTGTTCAGTTATGGTTGTAGAGCACTTTCTACATGCTTACCACGCTATAAATGTAACTTCTATATCTGGCTTTAGAGCCTAAATCACTCAGAAAGGCATTGTCCTATGGTGATTTTCTTTGTCTAATATGTAGGTGGACTCTGACAACCCACCATTGCCCCTGGTAGACCCAGACCTGATTCAGCCCATAGCAAATAGGCATAGAGATGTTTGGAACAGAGCAGTTTTCATAGTGGCAATTTTATCATATTAACTAGAATTCATAAATCTATACACTACCAAGTTGGAATTGCACTTTTCCAGAAATCACACAGGTGATCTCTGGTAGAGCCAGAAACTGAACTGGCAACTTTAAATCAGTCTGGCATTCTAACCAAAGCCCACCCTACACAAAGTCATTTTAAAAAACAAAACCCAGATCACCAAGCTAAATAACTCTTAAAAAATATTTCAAGTCAAGGAATAGTTCAAGTTATTTCTAATTTGGAGGCTCAGTCCTATAATCCTCTCTCATCTGTAAGTTATTCTCAAGTAAGTGTGATCACCTGGATGAGAAAGGTTTGTTTATGTAAGAAAAGATTTCAGGATCCAGTCTTTTATTAGCACAAATTCACCAACCCTTTCTCTTTAGCTCCTGGATAAGAGGAATAGATTTAAGTTGTATTCATTACTATCCTCATTATGACTTTTGCTCCTGAACAAGGTATCATAATTGTAAGACAGATGAGAAAGACAGCAGTATCCTGTACTAGTGTGACCTTTTCAGCTTTTCATATTATGACTTACTGACCATTCCATCTGCTCATTGTACACTGCAGGGAAGAATAGAATAGTCATGCATGACTGTAACTAGGATGTGAGGCAGTACAAACTTAACACCATTACTGAGAGACTATAAACCTATGTGATCCTCTATACACCTCATTAAAAGTCTTACTCATGTCCTCTGTCTTCTTCTGCAAAGCTGCTGGGGCTTAGCCTGCTTTGATATTATTAGACCATTTATGTTAATAGTAGCAATAGACATTTCTATAAAGATATTACAATCTCTGTCTGAGATCTCATTCACAGATCAAGCTTCTTTTATG